GGACTTTAAAAAAAAATTCACAGGACACTCACAGGGAAAGAAAACAGATTTAATTTTTAATCATCATAGATTTGAAATGCCTCTAAGATATTAAACCAGGTGTCACGTGGGAAGCCAGACATAAGAGTTGGAAGGGAGCTGATTCAACGGCTGAGTCCCCAGGAAAGAATCTGATGCCCTCAGAGGGAACAAGATTATGGAACAAGTGAGTCTAGGGGATTTGAGCATCCAATGGGGACAGTTTAGTGAACCAAGAGGGCCAGATTTAGTGAAACCATTGTGTAGGGTATTATAACCATGGATACGATACTGTCCATTTGTTCACACCCACAGAATGGACGGTACTAATGACAAACTATTCACTGTCGACTTTAGTTACTAAGTGTGCTATATCAATATTCATTCATTGATTGTAACAAATTCACCACACTAATTTGAAGTGTTACCAGTAGAAACAACTATGCTGGCAGGCACAAGAAGGGTAAGGTATGAAGGAAGTCTTTGTACTTCCTGCTCAACGTTTCTATACATTTAATGCTATTCTATAAAAAAAAAAAATTATACTGGGGCTGGAGAGTTGACTTGGTGGATAAGAGCACTTACTGCTCTTGCAGAGGACCCAGGTTCAATTCTGAGCATTCACTTGGAGTCTACAACCATCTGTATCTCCAGTTCTATCAGATCCAGCACCTTCTTCTGGCCCGTGTGGGTGCCAGGCATGCACATGAAGCATACAGGTACATGAAGGCAAACCACTTATGCACATAAAATAATAATTTTTAAAACTAAAAAAAACTAAACCAAATAAATCCTACTAACTTGACAAGAAGGAAGCATGGACTTTTGGATGAGACTCAAAGAAAAGCCAATATAAAAGGTATCAGAGGCTTTCCTGGAAAGGAACAGAGAGCCTTTAAACATAATACATTTATTTAGAAAAGAAAAAAAAAAAAGATACCTTACCTTACAAGGGTCATGTAACGGCAGCACAGCTCAAAGACTTAAGACAAATACTTGGCTTTTCATCATTGTTTTAACAATTTGGATTTCTCCCCACTGAGGGGGAAAGGATTTGGAAAGACGGCAAAAAGTATTTTTATCAGTTGTGAAACCAATGTTTGCTTTACACATTGATCTTTTCCCTCATTCAGTCAAAGCTCATTTTCACAGCCCAAGCCTTCTAAAGTCAGCAAGAAGTAGATTGTGATGCCATCTCTTGTCCTTGGAACCCTAGTGATGCTGGCAAGGCCATTTAGGCCTTTCTAGACTCATTTTCAATCACATACAACAGAGGGAATTCCTGCCTCATAGGCTTGCAAGAAAGAATAAAATAGCCTAATATTGAGGCCATCCTGGGTTACACAGTGAGTGTCAGGCCAGCCTGAGCTACATAGTAAAACCTTGTCTCAATAAAAGTAATATATGGGGCCTGGACAGATGGCTCAGGAGTTAAGAGAACTTGATGCTCTTGCAGAAGACCTGGGTTTGGTTCCAGCATCACATGGTGGCTCACAAACATCAGAAACTCCAGTTCCAGGGCATCCAATGCCTTTTTCTGGCATCTGTGGGTATCAGGCATGAAAATGGTGCACAGACACACATATAAGCAAAACACCCATAGACATAAAATAAAAATAAATCTTTAAGAAACAACCTATGGAGGCTTGACTCAGTGGTAGAGCATTTGCCCAGCGTATATGAAGCTCTGGGTTCAACCCCCAGCCCTGAAAACAAAAAGTTGGCCATCTGTTCCATAACTCATATGTGTTATGCTTAAAGGTAAGCATCTTCAGTATCCCATTCTGTAAGTTGTACATATTGATTTTTTTTTTATTTATTCTTCTCTCGTATATTACATCCCCGACCACCAGTTCCCCTCCCTCTTCTTCCCCCAGGCCCCCTTTCTCTCTCTCTCTCCCAGATCCACTCCTCTTTTATTTTCCCTTCAGAAAAGAGCAGGCTTCCCAGGGATATCAACTAAACACGGCATAACAAGCTACAATAAGACCAGGCACACATCCTCGTATCAAGGCTGGATGAGGCAACTCAGTAAGAGGAAAAGGGTCCCAAAAGCAGGCAAAGGAGTCAGAAATAACTCATTCTCCACCCCGACCCCCACTGTTAGGAGTCCCAGAAGAACACCAAACTACACAACCATAACGTATATGCAGAAGCATATCGATCGCTGTTGAGACTCTTCCCTTCTAGATACTGTGCCAAGGCCCTTGTGGTTGTCATCTCATTTAACCCTTCCTCTAGCCCGGTAGAGCAGGAATTCCTAGACCCATTCATAAGGCACACGGAGGGGATTTGCCCAAGGTCACACAACTGATAGATGAGTCACAGCAGGATGAGAAGCTGGGCCTCAAGTCCGCAGGTGTCCTCAACTGTCTACACATGGAGTCCCTGTTAGCGCAAAGAGTCAGCATGGTGGGTGACAATTTTATGTTTTACTGTACACTTACAGTGCTAAACCACCAGGCTTTTCCATCCCCGTGGTCCTCTCTGAGAACTACAAAGTGGCTGTGGCTGAGAGGAAATGGTGAGGAAGTGGACAGATCTCCTCACTAGCATGCAGGAGGAGGAATCACTTCTTCAGATATTCCAGACGAGTAGCACTGCACCGGGCCATCCACAGAACACCAAGGGTAGCATCCAGAAGCTGTCCCTGGCTCTGACATGTTCCATCGTGATCACACCTGTAGAAAGCCCTGTTTCTTTTTGACAAGCCTGTCTAGTCTCAGTACTCATTTTTTTTGCGTGTGTGTGTGTGTGTGTGTGTGTGTGTGTGTGTGTGTGTGTGTGTGTGTATGCAGTGTATATATGTGTGAGTACACACACATGTCTGGGGGCGGCACACACGTGTGAAAGACTGAGATTGATATTGGCTGTCTTCTCTAATCACCCTCTGCAATCTACATGGAGGCGGGTCTCTGGCTGAACCAGAATCTTACATTCTAGCTAGTCCAGCCATACAAAAGCCTTATTCTAAGGATTGTTTGTCGCTGCCTCTCCTCTGTTGGGTTACAGGTAGGCTATCAAACTTACTTGCTTTTACCTGGGTCCTGGGTATCTAAACTCTCGTCTTAGTGCTTGTACAGTAAGCACAATACCCACACTCCATCCCACCTTACCCCTACACACATAGTTAGTCTTAAAACTGATAACCGGCTAAGAACAGTTATAGTTTTCCATTATCTCTCTCCATTTACTTCTAAAATATTTTATTTTTGGTATTTTTGCATATGCTAGGGTTTGTGCGCATGAGTACAGGTACCTGTGGTGATGTGGGAGCCCCCTGGAGCCGGAATTACAGGCGGTTGTGAGCCACCAGATGTGTGTGCTCATAGCCACACTCGGGTCCTCGGCAAGAGCAGTGAGCTCTCTTAACTGCTGAGCTGTCTCTGCAGCCCCTCATCACATTCCTCTATTTCTTATGTACTTCACTTGACAGTGTGCTCTCATGCGCTTGGAGAAGCCTCAGGAAAAAGTGTTTGGTGTTGGGGATTTGAGAAATAACTATTTTTGTTTTTTTTTTGTTTTTTTTTTGAGACAGGGTTTCTCTGTGTAGTTTTGGTGCCTGTCCTGGAACTCACTCTGTAGACCAGGCTGACCTCGAACTCACAGAGATCCGCCTGCCTCTGCCTCCCGAGTGCTGGGATTAAAGGCATGCGCCACCACCGACCAGCGAGAAATAACTATTTTTAATACTTTATATTAATTCTTATGGATGCAATCACTATTTTCTTTTTAGTCTAAGATGCTTCTAGGAATACAGTTTTGTGCGTATGTGTGACACTGGGGATTGAGCCTACCACCTTGCATGTGTTAAGCAAGTGCTTTACCACTGAGCTACACCCCAGTATTTGCTTTGTTTTAAATCTTGTGTGTGTGTGTGTGTGTGTGTGTGTGTGTGTGTGTGTGTGTGTGTAAATGTGGGCGTGTGGCAGGGGGTTGTTAAAAGGACAACTTTTGGCATCTGTTCTTATCTTCTAACTTATTTGAAACAGTATCTCTTGTTCTTCATTGCTGTGTACTCCAGGCTAGCTGGCCCTCTCCCTTCCAGGGATTCTCCTGTCTGCACCTCCCATCTCACCATGGGAGCATTGGGGTTACAGACGCATGATACCCAGTCTGTGTTTACAAGGATTCTGCACACCTGAACTCAGGCCCCCACATTTGAGTAGCAAACACTTCACCCACTAAACTACCTCCCCAGCCCTCAGTCCTTATATTTACTTTTTATTTGGGGACAGGGTCTCACTAAATGATCCAGACTGACCGGCTTTGAATTCACTCTGTAGCCCAAGCCAAGCCTGAAACTTGTGATCCTCCTGAATCAGCCTCCCAGACAGCTGGGATTGTAGGCCTGAACCACCAGGTAGAGTTTAGGAACACAATTCTTGATACACTGGCAAAACCTTAATAGAAGGCAACTTTCTGTTTTATAATGAGTTATCTACTTCTATCATTGCTGGAAGTCTGATCTCTGAGCTCCAGCAGAACAGTGCAGACACAGGAGTGTGTAGACATGTGAGCGTGCAGACGTACCCATTCAAATGCAGAGTGGTACTGGCAATGGTAGCAAATATCTATAATCCAGCACTTTGAAAGGAGAGCCAGGAGGATCAGAATATCAAGGTCATTTTTAGCTATATAGCAAGTTTGAGACCAATCTGGACTGCATGAGACTGCCTCAAAACTAAATTAAACTAAAAATTTAATTGTTTTTTTTTTGTTGTTGTTGTTTTTTGTTTTGTTTTGTTTGGTTTTTTTACAAGGTTTCTCTTTCTGTAGCTTTTGCTGACCTGGGACTCACTCTATAGACCAGGCTGGTCTCAAACTCACAGAAATCATCCTGCCTCTGCCTCCTGAGTGCTGGGATTAAAGAAAGGTGTATGCCACTAGTGCCTGTTTTTTGTTTTTTTTTTTTTTAAATAAAAATAAATGGGCCAGCAAAATGGCTCAGGGGGCGAAAGTGCTTGTCACCAAGACTGGAGAGCTGAGTCTGATCTCTGGGACCTACTAGGTGAAAGGAAAGAACTGACTAGTGTAGGTTGCCCTCTGATTTTCACATGTTTGTGACATGCATTCCCATACACACACAGACTCCCATATACACACAGACACAAACACATGCAGATGCACACACAGTGTATATTGCAGGAACTTCCCTGATGGGAGGAGGGGTCACAGTATCACTTTATTTTCTGTTGGGGAGAGTTGATCCCAGGGTTTCACATCTGCCAAGCAAACACTGTGCCACTGAGCCACATCCTCAGGCAATTCGGACAAAAAAAAATTTTAACTCTGAAAACGGAATTGGATCCATTTTCCAGACGTTTGATATACTTGAGAGCTCTAAAACATATATTAGATACATATCAAAGTTTTTTTAAAAGGCAAATCTTTCTTTTACTCAAATACACTCGGAAAAGGCAAATCGATGGGAAAACGCAAACAGAATAAAAATAAACGAATCAGGAGCCCAGCATGAGGTGTAAGAACAGGGAGCCTCCTTATGCCATGGCCCGAGGAACATTCCAGCCTTCCGTCAGCAGGCTTCTAGCCAACCTTGGAGCTCCCTTATATAAAGTCAGCCCCAGGCAGCCCAGAGCAAGATGTGGCCTCACAGCCTCCCTGCTCGCTAGTTGCTCCAGTGCTGCTGACCAAGTGGCCAGACTGGCCTGTCCCAGAGCCATGGCAAAGAATGGACTTGTCATTTGTATCCTGGTGGCCAGCTTACTCCTGGACCAGACCAATAGCTACCCATCCAGAGTGAAAGCCAGGAAACATAGCAAACGCCGTGTGAAAGGTAATGGGACTTTGCTGCCCAACAAAAACCCTAGGCTTATTCAGGCAGGGAAAGAGCAGGATAAGATTCATACTCAAAATGCACCAGGAGACCATCATTACATCGTGGGTGTGTGGCTTTGCAGGGGATCCGGTGACTTTTGGAGTCTCTGGGGAGTTTGCTATTTAAAGAAAACATGACTAAGTTATTACTATTATTATTGTTATTACTATTGAAAAAATTTCTCATAATGAAAACAGTCCCTATTGTGTGTCTCTTGTCCAATGAGTTTCAATAATGTGGAACATTTCTGAGCTAGAGCTCTCATGGACCTGTGGACATAGGGCTTAATGGATGATGGGAAAGCGAGACACTGATTAGCAGTGCCCTGTGATCTCCTGGGTATAAATAAATTCAAATATATTTGTAAGCTCACTGCAATCTCATTAAGTCAGATGACTAGGGCAACTGTGGCTTCCTTTTTGTCACTGGCTATCCTGTTGGTTTATTTTGCCATCTCTACTAGCCTCGGGACAGCTATTGAAACCATGTATCTAACTTTTCATATCACAGAGCACTGGATGTCTCTTTAATTTAAGAACCTGTCAACACAAAATCAGACAGAATTTAAAGATATTTTGACACGGAATTCACTCGTCAAGAGTAGCTAGATTTGAAGTGGGTTTATACCAGGTTAAGAGACAAAAACTTCACAGCTGCAAGAACCTAGATGATGCGACTGCGTATGCCTGAGGTGGGAACCAAAGCAGAAGAGAAAGGCAGCAGGTCCAGTGACATGCTACCTCAGACTCTGAGCCATTTTCCTAACAGGGCGTTTCAAATATCATGGCACTCTTTCCTCACCACTTTTAGTTTGTTAAATGCAAAGCTAAGCTGTCATGGGTGGCTGGCTCACTTGGGAAGTGGAGGCAGGAGGATCAGGACTTCAAAGTCACCTTTGGCTAGTTGGGAGTTTGAGGCTGGGCTTCTTGAATCCCTAGCTCAAAGAAACAAAACAAAACAAACAAGCAAAAAACCTCCACTAAAACTTAGATTCTACCTGTCACAAGTGGATGATGGATCCCCCTGTGGGTTTTTGTTGTTGTTTGTGGGTTTTCTGTTTTGTTTTTTCTTATCCTCAAAGGTCATTCCTAGGGGTGTTTATGAAAGCCTGGTCTGAGGGAAGGTTTCTTAAGCAGAGATACTTTTCCTTATAAAGTATTGCCTCTCCGTGCAAGCTCTTTAAATGAAAGTTTCAGATACTTCTCACAAGGAGGTGAAGTGCATCACGGCAGGTGAGGACAGAAGAGAGAGAAGACACTAAGTGGAGTGACATACTTTTGTGCTTCTCCTTTACTGAAGTAGGAACTGTGGGGAGAGGGTAAAAAAAATGTATAGACGTGAGTTTCTTGTTCTTTCTAGCTCCTTGTTGCTCTCTCTCTCTCCTATCCTAAGATCACCTCCAGCAGGTATGTTATTTTATTGTTGCAAACACGTCTTAACCATCCCCCTGACCCAAAGGAATAATCTTTGCCTTCGAGTCTAATGAAAGTCACGTCTACAAGAGGTAAAGCAATCAGCCTAGATTTGCTGGTTGCTTCTTTTCCTACCTATTCACTCATATTTTTTTTAAACATTTTGAGTACTTTGAAATAATACCAAAGTTTATCGAACCAAATGTGAAAGCCAAGGCAGGAATGGTGACAGATATTTGTAATCCCAGTGCTTGGGAGGTGGAAGCAGAAGACCGTGAGTTCAAGACTAGCCTCAACTGTATAGCAGATTTAAGGGCAGCCTGGGCTTCATTAAGACCTTGTCTCAAACCCGCAAAAGCAACAACAGCAAAAAAGTAAAATCCACCTTTTCCCCTCCAGTCCTTACCCAGAATTATCTACCAGCTAGTAACAGTAGATAAATATCACCCAGATTGGCATTGCAAATATTTGGCAGGTAAATAAATTTACTTTATGTGTTCAGTCTTGGATAGCTATAAATGGAGGCATTTTTCATTCATTTTAACAGTTGCATATGTTACTTTATTGTTAGGGGAGGCTTTGACTTAACTGGTTCTTTCTTGGCAATGTTTATGTGGTTTCTGGTATGTCTCTCTTTGACACAATGTTCCACAGGAGACCCTTGTGCACGTATGTCCATTCTTGTGCTAAAAGGCTGCGGTATACCTTCTAGATGCGACATTCTCTGGTAACCTGACCCTGTAATTGTCTCTTCAAATGACAGCACCAGCCTATGCCATTCTCACTCAACTGGACAACCTAACACCTTACCGTGGTTCCACTGGAAATGTTTTTTGTGTTTTTCTGTCCTGGATCTGATGCCACACAGTCATGATCACAAAAGAATAGGAGACCTTTTAAGACACTCGAAGTGGCAGCAGCAGTTAATCACCAAAGTGTTCCCTGAGTACTTACTTCATAGGTCTCTACAAATTACGTGTTATACTAATGAATAAAATATACCTTTTAGAGCAAGCTAGCTCCTCAGGGCATTCCTTCTGTTCATCCATCCACCTGAGCAACAGAGAACGGAAGCCACCAAGACCCCCAGATGATGGCTGCCATAATGATCTCCCAGGAGCCTAATGGGAACACATGTGTCTTTGTGGTAATGATAGTGTTTACAGCTACTTATTTAAATAGGAAGAAGCTGGAAGCTGAGCAGGAAGGAAGGGGGATGAAACGTGTCTGGCTGACAGCTTCTGCGTTAGGAGCCAGACCTCAGCGGGCCTTTGAAAACCTGGCCCCAGTAGCTGGTGGGTTTGCATCTAAATGCCCCTTTTATTTATTCCACTTTGAGTGGTCTCACAGGAAAAAAAAATCTTTGGGTAATTGTATTCCTGAGCTGAGCTGTCGGATGCTTAAGAACTGATGTACAATGTCAAGTGAAACAGAGGGAGGGGGAGGGGTGCTGAATACCCCAGAATGCAATTTCCTAGCCCAAATGTGGAAACAAACCACTGGATTTTACACTCTCCTGAGAATTCACAGGGACACAAAACTGATTTTCTTTTGTGTGTGTGCCTGTACATATATGTGTCAGTGTGTCTTCACAAGTGTGCACACACATGTAGGGGCCAGAGGGACAACCTCTAGTATTTCCTAGGTGTCATCCACCTTGTTTTTGTTGCTGTTTTGTTTTTTGATTTTTTTTTTAAAGAAGTGTCTTTTCTTGACCTGTAGTTCTAAGTAAGCTAGACTGACTGACCAGGGAGCCCCAGGCATCTGCCTGTATCTGCCTCTCAGGCTGAGATTATTAGCACGCCACCATGCCTGGCTTCATTGGTCAAACTTGGATTTTGGAAAGTTCAAACTTGGCAAGCACTTTCCTGGCTGAGCCACTTTCCCAGACCACAAAACAGAGTCTCTGTATGGCAGGCCCACGCAAAGACAGCAGGAGATGGTTCATAATCACCTTTACGTGTCATCTCTGTCTAAACCCATGTGCTGGGGACCAAGGAGGTGGAGACAGCTGCTTTGCAGAAGTGGGTCAGAGGAATGGGAGAGAACAGGCTGGAAGCCAGAGACACCCACATTTGAGCTCTGTGTCTTACCGACTGGGAGACATTCAGCGGGTGGATTCAGCTTTCTGTTTCTCTGCACCCTCTTCTGTAAGCTTCTAGACCAGAGTGTATATCTCAGAGATACCAGAAGAACTGATCTCACAGACTAGTGCATAAGATATCTTTTTATATATATACATGTTTAGTATTTGGTACGGCTTGTCACAGTTCCTAGCGATCACTAAGACAGTCCCCATTCTTTTGGAATTTAGATTCAGCCACAGCTACTCACTTACACACAACTGAGGTTAAGCAAAGACAATCGTGAAGATTTTTTGGCCCCATCTAAGAACATTTAAGAATAAATAACTGAGGCTAGGGATATAGTTATCAGTAGAGCCCTTGCCTAGAATGCATCAGATATATGACCCTGGGTTTAATCTCTAATACCACCAAAGGGGTGGGGGGGGGGGGGAGGATAAAGAGAAGGGAGAAGAAGGGAATGAGGTGGATAGAGAACAAGGAATAAGGAGAAGTAGTAGGTGGTGATGTTCCCGTACAAAAGTTTTCAACGGTCCTTTATCACCCAATGCCACCAGGAGCCACTGCACCTCCATCATACCTCATCATTCATGTAAAGATCTCAGGGTCAGGGAGGAGAGTCCCAGTAAATCTGAGTCCTGGCCGTATCCCCCATGGCCCTTAGCTCACTGCACTCATCTTCCAAAAACATTCAAATAACATAAACCTTTTTATATCCCAAGTGTATGCCCCCAATGCAAGCACGATTCATGTGCAGTATTGTGCCAAGCATAGGGAGAATCATGGATAATAAAACCAAGGAAATGAAGTAAGTAAAATACAGATGGTGCTCTGAAGGAAAATAAACAAAGTTTGGGAAAGATTAGCAGCGGGGACGCTAATTTCCAGGGTTATCAGAAAAGTCTGCTCAGAATACACAGTTAAGCTTGGTAAGGAGAGGTGAGAGCAGACACCATCTGCAAAGTCCATGAACCTTCTCAGCCAGGTTCTCTTCGTGTATTGTTTTCAGTAAACATTTGGCTTGGCTTCATCAGAACCACCACTGCCTGGGATTCTGCATTCCAACGCTGTCATTTTGTTTGTTTGTTTTTTACATCCCAACTGTGGTTTCCCCCCTCCCTCCAGTCCCTCCTTCCACACCCTATCCACTCCTCCTCCATTTCTCTTCAGAAAAGGGCAGTCCTCCCATGGATATCAGCCAGCCATGGTATATCAAGTTGCAGTGAGACTAGGAATCTCCTCTCCTATTAAGGCTGAAGAGGCAACCCAGTAGGAAGAAATAGCCCCAAAAGCAGGTAACAGAGTCGGAGACAGCCCCTGCTCCCAGTTAGGAGTCCCACAAGAAGACCAAGCTACACAACTGTCACATATGTTCTGAGTGCCTAGGTCAGTTCCATGCAGGCTCCCTGGTTGTTGATTCAGTCTCTGCGAGCCCTTATGAGCCCAGGTTAGTTGGTTCTGTGGGTTTTCTTATGGTATCCCTGACCCCTGTGCCTCCTCCAGTCCTTTCTTCCCCTCTTCCACAGGATTCCTGGAACTCTGCCTAATGTTTCGCTGTGGGTGTCTGCACCTGTTTCCATCAGTTGCTAGGTGAAGCCTCTCTGATGACAACTGGGCTAGGCACCTATCTCTGAGTACATCAGAATATCATTAGGAATCATTTCATTGACTTTTTTTTTTTTTTTTTTTTTTTTTTTTTTTTTTTTGGTTTTTTGAGACAGGGTTTCTCTGTGTAGCTTTGCGCCTTTCCTGGAACTCACTTGGTAGTCCAGGCTGGCCTCGAACTCACAGAGATCCACCTGGCTCTGCCTCCCGAGTGCTGGGATTAAAGGCGTGCGCCACCACCGCCCGGCTTCATTGACTTTTTTTCCCCAGTCCTATTTGGTTCTATCCTTGGTCTCTTGTCTGTCTAGCCTCTGGGTCCTGGACCTCCAGGCAGTGTCAGGGATGGGCTTCCTCTCACAGCATGAGTCTCAAGCTGGGCCAGTCATTGGTTGGCCACTCCCACAATTTCTGCACCACCTTTACCCCAGCACATCTTGTAGGCAGGACAAATTGTATGTTGAAGGTTATGTGGGTGGGTTGGTGTCCCAATCCCTCCACTGGAAGTCTTGCCTGGTTACAGGAGATGGCTGGTTCCTCTGGATCCCCCATAGATTCCAATTTTTTGGGGTTTTTTTTTTTTTTTTTTACATTTCCATTATATCTAATTGAATATTTTCCATCCTGCCCCCTACCCCACTCAACAACGCCTCCCAGAAAAGGATGGTGACCTGAAGTCTCAAGTTGAAAAGCTGTGGCGAGAAGTGAACGCCCTGAAGGAAATGCAAGCTCTGCAGACAGGTGAGATGGCTATTCACCTGAGTCTAGTCTGGAAGGGGAGCAGGCAAGAATCAGCATGGCCCAGGATTGAACTCATCCAGATCACATGTTGAGTTCCGGGGTTTGTCTGTTCATTAAAAAACAAAACAAGATGAAAAACCAAATCGAAACAACAACAAAACATTGACAGCCAAACATGCTAGCACACGCCTTTAATCCCAGCAGAGACAGGCAGATCTCTGAGTTCCAGGACAGCCAGGTCTAAAGCTGGGGGTGAGAACACAGGAGGATCCCTGGGGCTCATTGGCCAGCCAGTCTAGCTGAATCACAGAGCTCTAGGTACAGTGAAATACCTACTAGAAAAACAAGGTGGAGAGAAGTGAGGAAGACACATGACTTCAGCCTCTGGCTTCCATGCAGAAACACACACAGAGAAATACACCCATAGAAATGCACACACAGAACACACACATAGAAACACACGCACACAGAAACACACACACACAGACAGAAACACAGAGAAACACACACACACAAGAAGATACTTTAAAGGTCAGGTCTTAAATACTTTGTTTGTTTGTTTGTTTGTTTGTTTGTTTGAGACAGGGTCTTACTATGTAGCTCTGGCTGTCCTGAAACTAACCATATAGACCAGGTTGGCCTCAACCTAACAAAGAGTGCTGGCTGGGACTAAAGGCATGCATCACTATGCCCAGCCCTAACTACCTTCCCTATAGGTGGAGAAACATAATGAGGAGTATTCAATATCCAAAATGAAGCATTACTGGATGTTCACTGAGTGCTGTCAGGGAACCACTGAGAGTTGACCAAACAGGTCCACAAGGCTCTCCAAGGCTACACTCAACATGGATGCACATGGAAGGACATTGACTAGGGCCACAGCTTCCTAGCAGACTTTGTCTGGAAAGAAGCACTCCTCCACAGCCTATTAGCTGCACACACTTCTGGCCAGGAGCTGTGCTCTAAAAAGATGAATGAGTGATAGCAGAATGCATAGGTCCAGAGCAGTCCTGCCTTATAAGGGTACCAGGAATCAATGTCTCTCATACCAACTTCGAGAATTGAGTTTTGAGGGTCCCTGCAGGAAGCCTACTTATTAAAGTTAGCACCTTCAGGCAAATGAAATCACAGCCTCTCATCAAGTATTCATTACTCCCAAGCTAGTTACCAAACCAGGGTCACCTTCACCATACACAATGGTGCCTTGGAACAAGGGTGATAACACTCCTTTTACCAGCTTTCCAGGGATGCATAATTGGAAAGTTAAAGTAAGGGCAAATGATTCTGTATAATGAGAAAAAAAAATGTTACTTTTTCTGTGTGTTCTGACACCATTAATACTTTGTTCTGAGACAGGATCTCATGTTGAGCAGTATGGGCTCAAACTCACTACACAGCTGAGACTGACTTTAAACTCCCATTCACTCTGCCTCCACCTCCCAAATGCTAGGGTTTTAGCCATGCACCACTATACCAGGCTACTACCTAAAAATTAATTTTTCCAACATATATGCTGAATAGTCACTTTACACTGACTTTCCAATAATTCATACTAAAATGTGAGGGAGGGAGACTTGAATCATGCACTATGGCTTTGGAGCTTGACTTAACAGTCTAAACCCTTAAACTCCCTGTGGGTTTATTTTACCCTGGATAACCTAAGCAATATTACTAGCCCCCAGCCTCCAGTTCTCTTCATAAGAAAACCACAGTTCCAGCTAGGCATGGTGGTGCATGCCTTGTAATCCCAGCACTCAGAAGTTACAGGTTCATTCAAGGCCAGACTAGGCTATAAAGAGAATTCTGTGCCAGCCTGGGATCTGTGTCTTGTCTTTTAGGGCATGGCTGTAGCTGAGTTGATAGAACGCTTGCCTCACAAGCACAAAGCCCTGGATCCCATTCCAGCACTGCATAAAAAACCAGGGTGTGGTGGCACATGCCTGCTAATGCCACAGAATCAGGAGGTAGAGGCAGGAGAATTAGAGCTGAAGGTCATCCCAAGCTACATAGTCAATCTGGGGGCCATCCTGCACTACATGAGACCATGTCTACAAAAACCACAGTGAGGACGGGCAAGACGGCTCAGCAGGCAAAGGTGCCTGCCACCAAGCCTGACAATCTGAGTTTGATTCCTGAACTCCGCTTAATGAAAGGAGACAACAGACTCCCACATGCTGTCCTCTGCCAGACGCACTGTGGCAGGTGGATACACACACACACACACACACACATACACACACACACACACACACACACACACACACGGTGGGGGTGGAGAGGGAGAGATCCTGTGTCAAAAAGCAAGCAAACAAATCAAAGTAGGGAGAAACCCACTATTCTCAATGACTTTTTGTTTGCTTTTTCCTTCCTTCCTTCCTTCCTTTCTCCCTCCCTCCTTCCCTCCCCCCTCCCTCATTCCCTCCCTCCTTCCCTTTCTTCCTTCCTTCTTTACTTCCTATCTTCTCCCTTCCTTTTTTCCTTCTTTCCTTTCATCTTTCTTTCTTTTTCTTTTTTGGTTATTATTTTTGTGATAAGATCTGTCTATGTGGGGCTGTCTGGCCTGGAACTGTAGATCAAGCTGACCTCAAATTCATAGCAAGCATTCTGTCTCAACCTTTCAAATGCTACAATTATAGGCATGTGCCATAACAAGTGGTTTGTGGTTGCTTTTTAAACTATTATGAAATTCCATTCTGTTCTAAAAGTCCCAAGGAAACCCACCACATAGTTCCTTACATAAACTAGGATACAAATTATATCAAAGCAACCTAGGCTAAGGTTATGTTTTGAGTCTTTTGTAGGTATGAATTCATTATATGTTCTCTAAACTCTTTTGGGGCATGTTAAGTTGTAACAATTTTGTGGGGTTGTTGAAATTGCAAGTGCTTATTATTGTGGCTGGCATGATAAAAACCGTCGATGGTAACTCATCACGGTCAACACATCAATCATTACACAAACATCTATCAATGCTTTCTAGGTCCAGTATTAGGAGTGTCACACACAAAAGGCATCCTATTACATCACCAAATTTCCCATCTTCACAGTTTGTCTTCGAGGCACCAAAGTCCATAAGAAATGCTACCTTGCTTCAGAAGGCCTGAAGCACTACCATGAAGCCAATGAAGACTGCATTTCCAAGGGAGGAACCCTAGTTGTCCCCAGGAATTCCGACGAAATCAACGCTCTCCGAGACTATAGTAAGAAGAGTCTTCCAGGTGTCAATGACTTTTGGCTGGGCATAAATGACATGGTCACAGAAGGCAAGTTCCTCGATGTCCATGGATTCGCCGTCTCCTTTCTCAACTGGGACCGTGCCCAGCCCAGTGGTGGCAAACGGGAGAACTGTGTTCTGTTCTCCCAGTCAGCTCAGGGAAAATGGAGTGATGAGGCCTGTCGAAGTAGCAAGAGGTACATATGTGAGTTTATCATCCCTTAGCAAGCCCCTCCCAAATATCCCTTCCAAGTAAGACTGGTCATGATAAATAAGCTGGTAGTCACCCTAATTAAGCCAAAATTACATTTATTAATTCCAAGATTGTAATGCCAGTATTGATATCCATAGGTATATAGAGTCAGACCATGTTTCTACTATAGCTCATTGTGATGTTACCCATCATGTAGCAAAGGGGATCAGAAAAGAATGATCCATGGTAAGAAAGAGACTTCTGAAAATGGGCTGTCAAATCCCTTTCCCACTCTCCTCATCCATCTCAGGTGGATAGGCCTGGCGTATTTGAGAAATATATTAGCCATGTGTTTCTTCAAGACAGGAAAGCAAGACTGGGCTGCCTGGAAGATTTCTCCTTAAAATTTAGTCATGATGGAAATACATTTTGAGAAATTTGTCATTGGTTATTTTTTAGTTGTGTGAATATTGTAGTATGCACTACATGAACTCTTATGTTGTAGGGCAAAACTTCAGGTGGCCTCTAAATGACCCTAAGACAAGTAGTAGACACAAGCAATGTGAGGATTCTGCTGGTCTAACATGACAGGCTTTCACAATATAGTTCTCTTTCTAAGTGCAAACACATAATCAAAAACAGTTGAAAACACAGTGAAGTATACTATCTTTCCATCACTATAATGAGATATCTGACACAGACATATATGAAGCAATGTGACATATATTTAGTTTGTAGTTCTAGTGGCTCAAAGCCAAAGATTAAGCAATCCCTGTGACTCGGCCAATGGTGAGGTTGGCCAATCATTAGCAGGAACTAGTGGTAGCATCTCAAACCAGAGCAGAAATAAAGATAGATGGCAAGCAGGGTCTCCTTTCCAAGGAGTGTCCCCAATCATCCAAGGACGCCCTAGACGGATCCACCTCCTTAAGGTACACAATACCTTTCAAAATTGTCACATCAGGGTCCTTGAGGGGACAGAAGCAATCAAATGATCTTCAGCTATAGTGTATGATAAACACATAAACCAATACACTGTCATTTATTATTGTTACCAAGTATTACATGCTGTGCTTAATCATTGTGTTAAACTTTATGACTAGTGGTGTGCTAGATTTGTTTTTAGCACTGTCACCAAGAACACACAGAGTGCTACATATAATTTGCTACATGAGGACACCAAAATGTCTCTAGGCAACAGGAATTTTTCAGCTACATCACAGTCCTTGGGACTACCGTCAAATATACAGTCTATTAGTGGTCAAAATGTTGTGCAGTGCGTGGATATAGTTGGTTGATAAGACTGTCCCAAGTTGGAGGTTCTAGGTGCTATATAATCCATAACCTTTCTAGCACAATGTTTAATTTCATCCACCCTGTTAGCCTATGGTCCTTGCTTTCAGATGTCACATCCCCTGGTGGGACGTGGATCCTGTCTATGACATCAGAGCAGGAATGTCTAAAGAGGTTCTCATCTAACTCTTCAAATTTTCCCACTCCAGCTTTCTTGGAGGGTCTCAGTCAAGACCACCTCCCCAAAGTGAGTCAACCTATTTGATCAATTTCTGCTCTCAGCATTCTATAACAGCTTCTAGCCAATATACAGCACTAAGGCAGGAGAAGGGCAGCAGGTGGTGAGGACAAAGAATAGACCAGAGAAAAATAAGGCAAGGCTGGGGTGCAGTTCCGTAGGTAAAGTGCTTGTCTAGCAGGCAGGAAGATGTGGTTTCACATGAACAGGACTCTTAAGCCTATAATCCCAGCACTGGGGAAGTGGAGGAAAAGGATTAGGAGTCCAAGGTCATGCTCTATCAATTGGACTGCAAGTTTAAAGGCAGCCTACGCTGTTGCACCAGGTCCTGTTTAGACAACAAAAGAAAAGTGCCTCTTTCCCTTCACTTATGTGTCCTTACAGTCTCCCTTTCTATGTGATAACAATATTTTTTTACTTTCTTTACATATATATTTCTTCAATTATCATTATGTATTTCACTTTATGAGGGGCAGTTTGTCATTAGAAGCTAAAAATTTGCCTTAAATAATACTATTTCAGAGTTACACATGTGTGCAATTTTTTATTCAAACAATGCTATTTCCATTAAATTGCTTAACTAGATTTTATAAAAATAACTTCATTGCTTAAAAACAGCAGCATAAATTTAAGGCTTAGGGGAAATGGGTTTTGGAGAAATAAACAATTCAGAATATATTCTATCCTTCAAATAAATATCTTTTCTCTTTTGTGAATAATGTTTTGCTCCCAAGAGCTGAACTGCATATGCTTAGAATTAAATTTTAGGTTGGCTTTTTCATTGCTCAATAAAGCCCCAAATCTGATCAGTGTGGATGTGTTTAGATATTGATTACATTTATTCAGATTATGATATTTATATTAAACTGGGCAGAATTTAAGAGGGAAAATGCCTGTATTTGATCAAACTGGTAACACTGGTGTATTTGGAGAACAATTTCAACTGGCCTTGAAGAGGCACAGTCTTGAGATGGGGAGACTTTAAACATACCCAATTGCCATTATATATACTGGGAAGTAGGCTCCAGAGTTATTTTCTTATATGGAAGAAAAACACAATGAGAGAGGTGACAATGGTCCCAAAGCACACTCCCAGAAGTAGTGGTCAACTCACCACACCCTCAGCAACCATGGAGGCTCTGACTTAGTGAAATCTGTCCCAACAGATGATGGGACAGATCCCAATTCATGGCTCAGATTCCTCACTTAGGATCATAATTTGGGCAAACAGGTGACCTTGAGAAGACATTGACTCTGAAGCTGCTGTCCTTGACCCCTTTGCAAGGACAGGGTTAAGGAGCCAAAGACCACATGTAGATGGCAGAGTTTGGATCCCCAGAGATTGTGTCAGATAGGATCATCCTTTCCAAGGAGACACATAAAAGGCTTTCCAAGGAACTCAAATTAGCAGCAGCAGCAGCAGCAGCAGCAGCAGCAGCAGCAGCAGCAGCATCTAGAAAACACAACCCAGCAGCGCCACCACCGGCAGCTGGAGGAATTCCCCTCCCCCTTCAGAACTCCATTCACTTAAAGTGAGATCTTTGGTTACTGTGCTGTGGAAAGAATGTCATGATGAATCAGAATGGAGCAGAGTTAGTGACTATTAAGTGTTTAGACAGAGTCATAGAGGTAAAGGAAGGTACACATCCTAAGACAAGGGTGTAGGCGTCTCGAGAGAAAGTCACATTTCCTATCTTTACAGTGCCTGTGTATATGAACCTGCAACTTTCTAAGTTAGGTTCCTCAAATGATGTAATTTATAATAAGCTTAAAGATTAAGGAAAACATAAAATTTAAATAAAGTTTGAAAGTTAAATAAACATGTATGAGCTGATTTCTCTCTCTCTGTGTCTCTCTGTCTCTCTGTCTGTCTGTCTGTCTGTCTCTGTGTGTGTGTGTGTGTGTGTGTGTGTGTGTGTGTGTGTGTGTGTGTGTGTGTGTGTGAATGTGTGCCTAAGCATGTATATGACTGTGGAGGTCAGAGTATGTCAGGTGCCCTTCCTCGGGTACTATTCCAATGTCTACTGGTTTTTAATTTTTCCCCTTAAAATAAAGTGCCCGACTTGCTAGAGCAGGCTGAGTGACTAGCAAGCCTCGGACATCTGCCTGTCTCTGCCTCTGCTGGGATAACAAACTGTGTTGGTTTTTGCTCTGATTTTTTTTTTTTTCATTTGTTTGTTTGTTTGTTTCGAGACAGGGTTTTCTGTGTAGTTTTGGAGCCTGTCCTGGAACTCACTTTGTAGACCAGTCTGACCTCAAACTCACAGAGATCCACCTGCCTCTGCCTCCCGAGTGCTGGGATTACAGGTGTGCGCCGCCACCACCCAGTTTATTTCTTTTTTTAAAATGGGTTCCTGAGATCAAAAAACATGAAGCAAGCACTTTACAAGTTGAAATATCTCCCCAGCCCAATTTATCTTTCTTTTCTTAAAAGTTATTTTAAATGAAATATAAGCCGGTTTTATTACTTAGAGTTAGCAATGAGGGAGGAGTACCATAGCACTAAAACTCAAGGCTACAAAGAGGCTGGCCCTGGGTAGGCATAGCTCTATGTTGGCGAGGTCCTTAGAAAAGCAGGTAGTCTGGGCTTTGTAGCCTGTGTTGCAGTTACTTGACTCTCAGCTAGAAAAGAAACTTAATCCCAGGGTGAGGAGGGGCTTCTTTTCCCTCTTAGGTTACCTTCATCTTCCATCTTTCTATCAGGCCTCAGAAAAAATAGACCAGTGTTTCCCAACCTTCCTAATGCTGGGACCCTTTAATACAGTTTCTCATGTTGTGTGACCCCCAATTGCCCCAGCCAGTGGGGTCTTCAACGGGGACCTAAAGGGAGGGCTGGCTAATGAGAGGGACAAGAGACACAAAGAATGAGAGCAAGACAGGACATCTGATCAAGCTCCAAAATTTTATTTTTCTCTCAAGGCATATATAGGTAGGCAAAGGGGGCTGCGAGCGGGAAGGGACTTAGTAATGGGGGTTGCAAGCGGGAAGGGATTTAATTATGGGCTGTTCAGCCAGCAGGAAATGTTGCTCTGAAGGTTATCTATCTACCCTTGTCTAACTGCCTAATTGCCTAACTGCAGCTCATTCACCTGATATCTGAGAAGAGGTTCTGGTATCTGTGAGAAGAGGTTCTGGTGCTATGGAGACTTAAGCAAGACCTAGATCTAAGAAAAGAGGACAGAAGCCCAAATATGGCAGCATGTGTGTCAAGGGTCGCTTAGGCTTATGGCTCCCGTCACCCAATCATAAAATTATTTCATTGCTGCTTACTTCATAACTGTAATTAGGCTACTGTTACAAATTTTAATGTAATATCTGATATGCAGGATATCTGATTTGTGACCCTCAAAGGGGTTATGACCCACAGGCTGAGAACTGCTGGAATAGACAAAGGAAACAGCAAAAAGCCAAGAGGCGCCGGGCGGTGGTCGCGCATGCCTTTAATCCTGGCACTCGGGAAGGAGAGGCAGGTGGATCTCTGTGAGTTCGAGGCCAGTCTGGTCTACAGAGCAAGATCCAGGAAAGGCACCAAAACTACACAGAGAAACCCTGTCTTGAAAAACCAAAAAAAAAAAAAAAAAGAAAAAAAGAGAAAAATCAAATAATAATAATAATAATAATAATAATGTCAAGAGGCAAATTAAGAGACTAACTTGTATAATCTGTCTCATGGCACTACTATTTAACCAAAAACTAAAACAAAGACTAAAAATAACCACCGAAGGCCAAGCAGATGTTCAAGGTCTGTGCTGTAGCCTAAACCCATGTAGATATGAGTGGCCTGTGCTGCCACCTGAAGCCATGTTGATGTCCATGGTCTGGGCTGTCTCAGAGGTCCTCATCTGGGTCTGTGGTCCAACTGCAGCTGGGGCTATGTTTGTGGTCTGTGCTGTCGCTGGAAACCATGTGGAGGCCCATGATTCGTGCTCCCACCTACTGTGAAGAAGAAGGATGTGGTGATATTTTATTTGTACTGAAAAACAGTGATATTTTATTTGTATGTTAATAAATAAAGTTTACCTGCAGATCAGAAGACATAGCAAACCATTAACACAAAAGTCAGGCAGTGGTAGCACACACCCTGAATCCAATCACTTGGCATTCAGGGTCTCTGTGTATTCAAAGTCATACTAGGGAACAGAACCAAGTGTGGTGACACACTCTTTTAATCCCAATACCAACCATAGAGACCTGGAGGTCTGTACAGACAGGCAGTGACAAGGAAGTGAAGTATCTGGGCTAAGAGCCAATGAGAGGGCAGAAAAACAAGGTAATAAAAGCGCAGTTTAAACAGGAAGTAGCTCGCATTTTGGAAGCTACAGAGCAGGTGAGGTAAGGTGGTTGGTGGCTCTCACTAGTTCCCTGATCTCTAAGGCTTTCACCCCTATATTTGGCTCCGTGTTCTTTATTTAATAAGACTGCTTAGAAATTCATCTACAGAAGAAGGCTACTTTTGCTGTGATATCAATGACTGCAGATACACAGTTGAGAGAAAGGGATAAGGAAGGTTTCTGTGACACCTCTCCCCCTCAAAGGGTGGCAGTCTGGACAGGAGCCATCAAAGAGAAGTCTCAAGGGGTGTGGTGGGGATGTTGAAGTGTAGCTCTCCACAGTTGATGGCTCTGGTGTGGGTGCAGGAGGGGAAGGACTTAGTTCTATTTAAAGGGCTGGTCACTGAAAGTTTGACCATGCTCCAGTGAGTATATAAATAACACAAATTAGACTTTCCCCCCTTATTTTTATTTTTGCTTTTTTTGGGGGGGAGGTTGCAAGGGTGGGGAACAGACATGGAAGGACAAGGAAATGAATGTGATCAGGGTGCATGATGTGAAATTCCCAGAGAATCAATAAAAATGTTATGTTAAATAAAATAAAATAAAATAAAATAAAGACACATGCTCAGGGGCTAATGGAGGAAGGCTGATGGAGAGGTTGAGGCCAGTGAGTTTTAGACCAGCCTAATATGAATGTGTGTTAAATGGGGCTCTGCTGTGGGTGAGCTGCCAAGCCAGTGGAAGAGAAACTGTGTGGAATGATGCCAGTTTGCCCAACGGAGAAAAAGCAAGCTCTATAGACAGCAAACAGTCTGACAAACATGGCATTTACACAGGGAGGGATGCAAGTGCAGTTCCAAAGTACGCCCAGCAGGGGGAGACCTGGCATATTTGGGGGTTGGTTAGCTTTTTTATGAACAAGGTCTCATGGAGACCAGGCTGATCTCAAACTCCCAATGTAGTCAAGGGTGACCTTGAACTTCTGATCCTCCTGCCTTCGCCTCTTGAGTGTTGAGATAACAGATTTGTACCATCTAATACATGTTAGGCAAGCACTCTACCAATTGAGCTATAGCCCCACCTCAAGAACTTGAAAATTTGATAACGGTTGGGGTGTGTCACTTACAATTAAAATAATTCTGGAGAGACTAGAAAGATGGCTCAGTGGTTAAGAGAACAGTTTGCTCTTGCAGAGGATCCAATTTGGTTTCCATCACCCACAAACGAGGTGGCTCACAGTCACCTGTATCTCCAGCTCCCAGGAATCTGAGGCCCTCTTTTGGCCTCCAATGGTACATGCAGTCATATGTACATAGCCACACACACACACACACACACACACACACACACACACACACACACACACACACACACAATTAAAAATAAATCTTAATGATAATTCTGAAGCTGGGGCTATAGCAAGGTTGTTAAAGCACTTGTCTAGCAAGTAGGAAGTCCTGGGTTTAAACACCAACACTGCATTAACTGGACATGCATGGTATAATACACCAGCAATCCTAGCACTCCAGAGAGTGAGGCAGGAGGATCAGAAGTTCAAGTCAATCTTTGACTACACAGTAAGTTTGAGGTGAACCTAGAATGGATGAGCCCTAAGTGTAGTTGGTCAATGGAAACTGACATTTTCAGCCAACCTCTGCTGCATGGAAGCAAGGGTGTGGGAATGGAGAATGGGAAATGACAGAGTTCTTCACTGTGCTGCAGGGTGTTTGTGGGTGCAATTGCAAAGTACCTGCCTCAGATTTGATAGCTGTATCCATATCTAGCACCATGTGTTGGAATGCATGGGTTTCTGGGGTAGGAAGGACTGGGGGAGTTCCATAGGGGCATAAGCTAGAAGCAAAGTGAAGAAGGAAAGGGTAGGAGAGGGATTTATACACACTGGTGCTGGAGACTCCCTCCCTTTTGAAGGAGGAGAGAAATTGGAGGATCATCTATGGGAGTTGAAATCCCTAAGAGGCCCTAAGTGGAGAAACAGGGTGAGAAGGGATAGTCAAAAGAGAACTAGGGATTGTGGATAAATCTGATGTCAGGGAAGACAGAAGGACAGACAGGATCAAGGGCCTAGTATGCCACAACAGTGGGCACAGAAGAAGCTGAATTAGAAAATGTGTAAGGAGTCAGGAGCAAGTGTGGAGAAAGGCCAATGCCAGAGCATGCTGCCAACACTTATTTTATCCATAAGGCACCCTCTTTAGCATCCCTGATCAGGCTGCTTTGGCCCTTCATGGTGGTGGTTGAGGATGATCTCTCAGCTTCCTGTTCCTGCCACCATACCTGCTGTTTGCTGCCATACCTCCCTGCCGTGATAGACTCCTATTCCTATGGAATCATCTTAGTTACTTGTTATTATTCTATTGCTGTGAAGACACACCTGACATAAGGCAAGTTATAAAACTTAAGTCGGGGCTTGCTTGCAGTTTTAGAAGGTAAGTCCTTGATCATC